TCGGCCGAGTTGTCGACCAGCATATCTATGTTAGGTAAAGGAAATGCATCCTTCGGGCAAGCCCGATTAATATCAGTATAATCAACGCACATTCGCCACTTTCCATTATTTTTCTTGACAAGTATAACATTTGACATCCAGGTTAAATACCGGGCTTTAGAGATAAAATTTGCCTCTAGGAGGTCTTTTACAGCTTTTTCAGCAGCCTCCGTTTTCTCTAGAGACTGCCTACGTCTACGTTGTACTACTGCCCTAGCGGCAGGGTCTATGGCAAGACGGTGACAGGAGACCTCGGGGTCGAGTCCGGGCATTTCCGCAGCGCTCCACGCGAACAGGTCCGCATTCTCGCGCAAACAAGCTTTTATTTGCTTCCTTGCTAAGTCGGGGAGTCCGGTGTTGATCTTCACTCCTCTACTTGGGTCCTCGCCGAGGGGGACGAGTTCGAAGTCCCCGTCTGGAATTGGCCGGAGGGGGATTTGCTCGCCGCTGGAAGGTTCATCCTGGTCGAAGCGAGTGTCCAGAGATATTGAGTCGACCTCTGGAGGGTTCTCTGCTCTTCTGCCTTGACGGACTCTGTCCTCTGAGGCTATGGTCGTGTCGTCGTAGCTCTCTTGGCGGGCCTTATGCTGGTGTCCACCGTATCGCGTCCCTTGGAAGCCGCGTTAAAACACCTTCGGGCAGCTGCTAGGTCCCCTTGGATGGTGGCGACCCGTGCCCTCTTGGTATAAAACTTCATTTTCAGATGAACGGTAGAGGGTACTGTGGTCAGCTCCGCCAATGTCGGCCTTCCCAGAATGCAGTTGTAGAGGGACGGGAAATCAATGACGAGGAAGCGCACCTTGACTTGCCTCGTTGTCGTATCCTCGCTGAACGTGACCATGAGCTCGACGTATCCCCAAGGCTTGGAAGTTGAGCCGTCAAAGCCCTGCAGGTATGACCCCACGTGAGGTGAGAGGTGAGAGTCGTCGAGCTGCAGGGTTCGGAACAGTTGGCTGTACATTACGTCGATGGAACTTCCTTCATCGACGAGGATGCGGTGTACGTCAAAGTTGGCCATCTTCGCTCTTATCAGCAGAGGAATGACCGAATTGGGGGCCCCTCTGGGGAGCTCTTCGAGATAAAAGGTGATAGGTTCTGACCTACCCTTCACCTTTTCAAAAGTCACCGTTTGAGGGGGGGCCGTGTCGACCAACTCATCCAACTTCCTCTTGGCCGAATTTATGGTCAGGTCATTGAAACCTCCACCATTGATGACCATGGCGGAGGGAAAGTACTCCCACCTGCTGTGTGTCGACAATGGTTCTTGCATGTAGTCGGGGACGTAGAAGTCCTCGGGTCTTGTGACGGAGAAGGCTGTTTGGATGGGGATCAACTCGTCAGATGGTCGGGCATCCTCTTCCACTTCTCTTGTCTCGCAGGCGTCGCAATGAGGAGCATCGTTTCGCCGATACTGGGCGAGTCTCCCCCCTTTTATGAGGGTCTCGATGGCGTCCTTGAGGTGGACGCAGTCTTCAGTCAGATGGCCATGGCTCCTGTGGTACTGACAGTATTTGCTCCTATCCACCCCAGGTTTGGCAGGAGCTGGTCGGGGACGCTTGACGTCACCATCTTTGAAGTCCGTACTTGAGCACTTCGCTAAGATGCGCTCGCGGGAAGCCGTGAGCAGAGTGTACTCTGTGAAATGCCCCGAAGGCCCCCTCTGTTCTCGGATGTCCCGGGGTTTGTCGTCTTTTCTTTTTTCCCCGGCTCGTCGAGGAGGGATGGGCTCTTGGTGCGGGTTGCTGCTGGATCCGCGATTCCTGGGGTCTCGGGCTCTGTTGGCCGCTTCCCTCTCCTCGTAGTCCATGTAGGCCTTGGCCTTCTCGAGGAGAGCATCAAACGTTCGAGGTAGTCCGATGCCCACAGCCTTCCTGAATTTTGTGCCGGGGAGAAGGCCCCTCTCCAGCAGGTATCTCTTCATATGGTCCGTGCAAGGGACCTGGATGGCTTCCCGGTTGAAGCGGTTGATGAACTCTCTCAAGGTCTCATCCTGTCTCTGGACGATGGCCTCGAGCGCCGCTTCGGTCTTCGGATGTCGCCGAGATGCGGTGAATGAGCTAATGAATTGGTTCTTCAAGTTTCGCCACGAGGTAATTGACCCCAGGGCGAGACCCTTGTACCAGTCCATAGCTGCTTTCCTCAGGGTCGTGGGGAACAACCGACATTTAATTGGTCCCCCGACATTGTGGTAGTGCAGCATTGCCTCGAACCCGTCTATGTGATTTACTGGGTCAGCGACTCCGTCATATTCTTTCAGATGTGGAGGCTTCTCCATGCCCGGGGGAATGGGCGCCTCCATGATAGCTTGTGATAGGGGACCGTGGGGGTCGTCCTCATCGCTTTGTTCCGGGGAGCGGGACGGGGAGCTGATGTATTGTCGGTCACGATGGCTCTGGTCATGCTGGAAGTTCATCGAGCGATGTGTCCGTTGATAGGTTCCTCTGTGTCTGTCTCCGAGAAGGGCCATGGTCGCGCATTTCAGTCTCAATGAGTGGTTCTCTCTCCAAGGCGGGTCACCGCCCGGGTTGTCGAGGCGACGGGCTTCGAGAGGTGTCCCGGTCCTGTCTCCGCGGGGGAGACAGAGGATGTTCCTCCGTTCTTCGAGGAGGTGGGGATTAAGGCCTCCTGTGTCTCCTCGGGGGCCTTCTGTCGTCCTCTAGCGCTCTCAGTCTTTCCCCTTGGGCAAAGATGAGGTAGTTGGTCTGGTTGATTGCCGCGAACAGTGCCCTGGTCGTGGTGTCTGCCCTGGCAGGGACAGGAACCTCATGGAATTGGGCGGCTAGATAGTTCGAGGGAACTGGATTATCTTCTTCGAGCCGAGGAGGGACTGAAGAAGATGAAGTCGTGGCTCCGTCCCGGTAGTTAGAGGGCCCGGGGATGGCGCCTCCGAGGAGTATATTATGGCTGGCGTTATCGGGGCCACCGTTTTTGTCGGCGAGGTTGTTGTTAGCTTCAACGACGCAGACGTTCTGGTTATCCTGAATCTGGTCAGCCATGGCGATCGAGGATGGTTTTAGCTTTGGTCTTCGCGAGTTTGTAAGACGGGGAAACTTAGTTTCCCACAGACGGCGCCACTGATCGTACCTGATCAGGGTTGGACCGTCACAGCTGGCTTGAATTGAATTTGAAGGAGGTGGGGGTACCTGCAAGACACTCCGATGATAAAGTGAGAGACAGAATGAGCAGGCGAATTGTATATAGGCGTGAATGAGATGAATACCTGACCCTCTTGAAGTAGAGGGTATTTATAGCCCCCAGCGCTGGGCCAAGGTCTCTTTATTGGCTGACCAAACAAGCCCAACAAAGGGATTGCCATGTCCCACGTGGAGTAGTGGGGACCTGCACGTGGTCCCCTACCTGGGTGATGCTCTCCGCGGAAATAGGGAGGTGAAGACGCGGTCTTCTCGGGACCCCGAGGACTCCGAAATATTCGGAGGTTTAGTCTGCCCTACAAGGAGTATGCTCGAGCAAGACCTGGATTGAGATGTTCCTCGCCTGGGATGTCCCTTGTCGGGGACTCTCTTCATGGTCACCGGCGAGCACAAGTTGTGTTCGACGACACCCATGATCGAGGCGTGTCGGGGATTCTAATACTCAGCATGGTATGTTGTAAAGCTTGGATTGGGCATCACTAGTAATTGGGCCACGGGCAGGCCCAGTCCAGAACATATTGTTTTGCCATGTTAAATAATTTTTTTTAAATTACAGTTTGATTTGGCGGGATTCATGATTATGATTGATTGATAATATAATTTTTTTTTACACTCTCACCGTCACTCATTTTTTTATATCGTAATATTTTGATAATAATATAAGAAAAAAATTTAGGTACAATTTCTTAAGTGTGATTTATATTATTTTTTTCAATGAAAATATGAGAAGTGTATAATTTCTTCTTATACATCAATTTTTTTCTTATTTTTACTCTTAAAGATATTTAAATACATTTGTTATTTTTATTGAAGAAAACCTATGAGATTTGTACGTAAGTATTAGACATGGTAACGAGACGGGGCAGAGACGGTTTTTGTATTCACCAAACCCAAACCCGAATTCAAGATAAATCCTCGTTACCTGTCCCAATCTTCGTCGAAGATGAATAATTGAATCTCAAATCTGCACCAAATGGGTTTGGTGATCTCCGCCCCGCCCCGAAACCCAAAATATGTCTCAAATCGAAAAGCTCTCCCAAACTCAAATATCACTCCGAACCTAAAATATGCCTCAATCTTAACATATATTAACTTATATTACAAATATAAAATACAATCTCGAAAAATTTTAAACATATATTTCAAATAATAAAATACTAACAAAAGTATTAATTTATCAACCATACAATTAATATTTCAAATTAACAAACCAAATAATCCAAGAAACTATAACAATATATAGATTTAACAAATTAGAATATTGTAGCGGCATATATGTGATACTATAGCGGCATATATTGTTTAATAATCATAATAATAATAATAATCATAATAATAATAATCATAATCATAATAATAATAATAATAATAATAATAATAATAATAATAATAATAATAATAATAATAATAATAATAATAATAATAATAATAATAATAATCATAATCATAATAATAATCATAATAATAATAATAATAATAATAATAATAATAATAATAATAATAATAATAATTAAAAAAAAAAACGGGACGGATTCGAGAACGGACAGGTTAGGGGTGGATACTACACTCTCCATTATCCGCCCTGCCCCGTATCTTAAAATCGGAGAAAACCCAAACTCAAATTCAAACAAAGTCAAAACGGATTTTCTTGTCAAATTCAAAACGGGTTATGACGGATAGCCACCTATATGGAATATATTGCCATATCTAGTAACTATTGTAGTTTGGTTTTTTTTATCAAAACTAAACCAAAGAGTTAGATTTCATTTCAGAGAAACTAATAATAGCAGATAGAGACAGAAGAAAAAAATGTCTCTTCACTCTCCATTGATTGTTGAAGAAACAAAACAAAACAGCAAGGAAGAAGATAGAAGAGAATTGATTGAAGAAGTGAAAAAGCAGTTATGGCTATCAGGACCGTTAGTTTCAGTTTCACTTTTGAATTTTGGTATCGATCTTATTTCTGTTATGTTTGTTGGTCATCTTGGTGTGTTAGCTCTTTCTGGTGCTTCCATGGCTACTTCTTTTGCTACTGTCATTGGCTACAGTTTATTGGTTAGTTTTTAATTTTTATCCGATTTATTTGCTTTTGACTCTTCGTTCAAGTGTCGTACCCTGATGCGTGTGGGATTATGGTTGAATAGGAAGGAGTGGCAAGCGCATTGGACACATTATGTGGACAATCATATGGCGCAAAGCAGTACCGCATGTTAGGTGTACACACGCAGAGAGCAATGTTCATTCTCATGATTGTCACGATTCCCCTTGCGATTATTTTCACAAATACAAGATCCATTTTCATTTTACTCGGCCAAGATCCTGAAATATCGACGGAGGCAGGAAACTATGCTAAGTTAATGGTTCCAAGCCTTTTTGCTTATGGTCCTCTACAATGCCTCAATAGATTCTTACAAACACAAAATATTGTATTTCCAATGATGTTTAGCTCTGCGGTTACGACATTACTTCATATTCCTCTATGTTGGATTATGGTATACAAGTCTGGCTTAGGTAGCAAAGGGGCTGCCATAGCAATTTCAATGTCTGAATGGTTGAATGTTATTATACTCTCACTTTATATCAAGTTTTCTTCTTCATGTAAAAATACTTGGCATGGATTTTCCAAGGAGGCTCTAACACTTAACAACATCTCTATTTTCTTGAAGCTTGCTATTCCTTCAACTGTAATGGTTTGGTAAACACTTTTTCTAAAACATTGTTAATTACATTTTAATTTCTTTTTAGATATTCTAATGATGTTTCCATTTTTTTACTGAAATTTTTGTGGCGAGCAGCTTGGAAATATGGTCATTTGAATTAATGGTTCTCCTTTCTGGTCTTCTTCCAAATCCAAAGTTAGAAACATCAGTGCTTTCTATTTGGTAGGTTTTGTACTTGAGATTCTCGTCGACATTGTTTTGACATCAACTTATTGTTAGTGACTTGGTTTTGTCAGTTTGAATACAGAAGCAGCTATTTGGATGATCCCATTTGGACTTAGTGGAGCAATAAGGTTAGTATTTCTGGGTACAAGACTTTTTTCTCATGCTTTATTTTGCGTGTAGTTAAATTAGCGGTTGAATGATTCTTGCAGCATTCGTGTTTCGAATGAACTCGGGGCTGGTAATCCACAGGCCGCACGTTTGGCAGTTTGTGTTGTTATGGTGATTACCATTATTGAGAGCATTTTAGTGGGAGCAGTGATGTTTCTTACACGCAATATATTGGGTTATGCTTATAGTAATGAAGAACAAGTTGTCAAATACATTGCAACTTTATTGCCCATTCTTGCTGTAACCCACTTTCTCGATGGGTTACAATGTGTTCTTTCAGGCACTGCTAGAGGATGTGGTCGCCAGGAAATTGGTGTTTATGTTAATCTCGGAGCATATTATTTAGTCGGGGTTCCCGCGGCCGTTGTATTAGCTTTTGTATTGCATGTTGGTGGAAAGGTAAATAGTAGTACTAAATCTTTTAGCAAAAATCGCAATCTTGTGATTCGGTTTAACCTGATAAATATACTTATTGTAGGGGCTATTCCTTGGGATTATATGTGCACTCATTGTTCAAGTATTTGCTCTAATGATTATTACAATACGCACTGATTGGAAGAAAGAGGTTAAAAACTTCTTCATTTTTCTTAGTGTTTTTGGATTCAATATTTGATTCTGACATGTTTTTGTTTTTTCTAACTTCTTTTATTCAGACAAAGAAGGTTTCTGATAGAGTTAATGATTATATAACAACGGAGAGTTTAATCTCATGAAGAATATGATTTTTATTTTGTTTTTTCATTGTGTTTTGTTTTCTTATTACCTTTAATTGTGAGGTTTTGCTATGAATTGAACAATTGAATTCTTTTAATGTCAAAGATGCTTTAAATTTGGCCATATTGGTTCCATGTGGTACCATTCTAACCTCAATTTTCCTTTAGTTTTGCACAATTTATTTCATGGCCCATCCATTACCGACAAATATATTTGTATATTTGCCATAGAAAACTCGGTGTATTAAATGTTAATCTTTAATGATTGTATGGTTAAATCTGAGGCCATTGATGCTATCTTTCTAGAAAGTTTGGTAGGAACAATATGGTCTCAATGAGGGGTTCTCTAGTCTTCAGCTACATTTTCTAGTCTCTTGTCTAGTTTGACATGGAGATATTTGTAAATTCTTGGATATTGTTCTGGATTGGGTCCGTCCTGACCCAAGAACAAGAACGAAGGCTCAATCCAAGCAACTCTTCAAGGAGCGCGCGCCCGAACATTCCTGCCAGCGCGTCGACCAGAAGCTGCAGCCGTGCCTGCCGCTGCCCGCGAATATGACGTCCTCGACCACATGAAATCCAGCTCAAGCCCAGCTCGAGCACCCTCCTCGTAGGGCAGACTATGACCGTTACTCCATCACCTGAACTCCGAAAAGACCGCGTCCTCGTCCCTCCGTACTTCTCGCAGAGCATCACCAAGAAGGGGACCACGTGCGAGTCCCCACTACACACGTAGAACCTGGCAGTTCCTTTGTTGGGTCAATCCTGGTCGGCCCAATGAAGGGACCTTGGCCCCGCGCTGGGGGCTATAAATACCCTCTATTCTTAGAGGGTCAGGTATTCATTCTTTTACCCATACACACATTTTTTTCCTGCTCGTATCATCACTCACTTTAGCATCAGAGTGCCTTGCAGGTACCCCGCCCCCCCATCTCGTTCAACTTTCGCTCGGAGCCAGTCGTGACGGTCCAAGTCTGATCAGGTAAGATCAGCGGTGCCGTCTGTGGGAAACTAGCTTCCCTGTCTTGCAAAACCTCGAAGACCAAAGCTCAAATCACCTCATACCGTCATGGCTGACCAAGTTCGTGATGACCAAAACATTCGCGTCGTCGACACCAACAACGGTCTCGCAGATAAAAATGGACTCCCCGATAACGCCGGTAACCCCGGTCATAACTCACTCCTCGGGGGCGCCAACCCCGGGCCCTCAGTCCACTGCGACGGAGTTACTGCATCATCCTCTTCAGTCCCTCCACCGCTCGAAGAAGACAACGCAGCTCCCACAAACTATCGAGCTCCCCAATTTCAGGAAATCCTTGTCCCCGCCGGGGTAGATGCCACAACCCGCGCCCTGTTCGCGGCGATCAATCAGACGAATTACCTCATCTTCGCCCAAGGGGAAAGATTGAGGGCACTAGAAGACAATCGAAGACCTGCGAGGAGACACAGGAGGCCCCAGACTCCACCTCCTCGAGTAACAGAGGTACATCTCCCGTCTCCCCCGCGGAGACACTACAGAGACACCTTCTGAAGCCCGTCGCCCTGACCCTCGGGGAGATGGCCCCCTTTGGAGAGGCAACCCATCATTGAAGTCGGGGGACGCAACCACGCCCCCACACGACAAGAAAGAAGACACTCCGGAGACGGGCATGGAAGAATCAACCAACGAGCACCACGCTCGGGAGATGCCCAGCACGACCAAGACCGTCGGGCTCGACAATATTACAGGTCCCCATCACTCTCCCCGGAACGAAGTGACGAGGACGACCCCCGCGGTCCCCTGTCACAAGAAATCATGGAGGCGCACATACCCCCGGGCATGGAGAAGCCTCCACATCTGAGGGAATACGACGGAGTCGCAGACCCGGTCGACCATATCGACAGGTTCGAGGCTATGCTGCACTATCACAATGTCGGGGGACCCATCAAATGCCGGTTGTTCCCCACGACCCTCAGAAAGGCAGCAATGGACTAGTATAAAGGCCTCGATCCGGGATCAATCACCTCGTGGCGAAACCTGAAGAACCAATTCATAAGTTCGTTCACTGCGTCTCGGCGACACCCAAAGACCGAGGCGGATCTCGAGGCCATCATCCAGAGACAGGATGAAACCTTAAGAGAGTTTATTAATCGCTTCAATCGTGAAGCCATACAGGTCCCCTGCGCGGACCACATGAAGAGGTACCTACTGGAGAGAGGGCTTCTCCCCGGCACAGAATTCATAAAGGCATTGGTCATCGAGCCACCTAGAACATTCGATGCCCTCCTCGAGAAGGCGCGGGCGTACATGGATTACGAGGAGAGGGAGGCGGCCAACAGAGCCCGAGACCCTAGGACTCGCGGATCCAGCAGTAACCCGCGCCAGGAAGCTCCTCCTCCTCGACGAACCGGGGAGAAAAGAAAAGAGGACAAACCCCAAGAAGTCCGAGAACAAAGAGGACCCTCGGGGCGTTTTACCGAATACACTCCGCTCACAGCTTCCCATGAGCTCATTTTGGCGGAGTATGCCAGCACGGACTTTAAAGACGGCGGCGTCAAACGCCCCCGACCTGCTCCCGCCAAACCCGGAGCAGACAAGAGCAAGTATTGTCAGTACCATAGGAGCCATGGTCATCTGACTGAAGATTGCGTCCATCTCAAGGACGCCATTGAAACCCTCATCAAGGGAGGGAGGCTCGCCCAATACCGGCGAAACTACGCTCCTCGTCGTGACGCCCGAGAAGCAAGAGAACCAGAGGAAGACACCCGACCATCTGACAAGTCGGTCCCCGTCCAGACCGCCTTCTCTATCACCAGACCCAAGGACTTCTACATCCCCGAGCACCTGCAGGAGACGCTCACGACCCACAGCAGGTGGGAATACTTTCCCTCCGCCATGATCATCAATGGCGGAGGATTTAACGACCTGACTATTAATTCGGCTAAAAGGAAGCTGGATGAACTGGTCGACGCGGCACCCCCTCAAACAGTGACCTTTGAGAGGATAAAAGGTAGGTCGGAGCCTATCATCTTTTACCTGGAAGAGCTCCCCGGAGGAGCCCCCAACGCAGTCATTCCCCTACTGATAAGAGCAAGAACGGCTAACTTTGATGTGCACCGCATCCTCGTCGACGAAGGAAGTTCCGTCGACGTGATGTACAGTCAATTGTTCTGAACTCTGCAGTTGGACGACTCCCATCTCTCGCCATATGTAGGGTCAGACTTACAGGGCTTCAACGGCTCGACCTCCAAGCCTTGGGGATATGTCGAGCTCATGGTTACCTTCGGAGAAGGCACAACTGTGATCGGTGGGAATAGAACTGACTGTTTTGGAATGCTGGTTCGCGTTTTGCGTTTGTTTTCGCAAAATGTCGCGGTAAGCAAGAGTCGCCACCGTCTTTTATTTTATCCAACAAGGAAAGGACAAAAGCACAGAAAAATTCCTTTTTCAAGATGTTTCTCGGGTTCGGGAGGTAGATTATAGAACGGGAAGGTGCTAGCACCCTTTCTATCCGTGGTTATCCACGGGCTCTTAGGTACTTGCTCATTGTGTTTTCGAAAGTTTGCTTTTCTTTGTGTTTGTGGGTTTGAAAAGAGTTTTTGTTTGAAAGGAGTGTAAGTGCGAAAAGTTTTGTTTTGTTTTAAAAGGAGCAAGTACTCAAGAACCATCTACCTACTCGAAAAGGGAATTAAACTGTGCTAGTGTCCTTTAGACAATGCTATCCCACTATTGAGGAGTAGGAAGCGTCGTCGTTGGAGTTTTCGGGTTAATTCGATTAAGGGACGTGTGGTCACTAAAGCAATGTTAGGACGCCTTAGCGGTAACCTTAATGTCTTAGATCATTTCATATGAGACAACCGTTTCGAGGCAACTATGATCTTTGGACAAGAGGGCGACCTCTAAAACTTCCTATACTCAATGACCACGTTCGAGGCAACCAAGTGAGGTGTACCCTAAGAGTGGCATGTGTAAGTGTGTTATTTCGGTTAATTTTATCTGTACATGTCATGGGTGAGCTATGTTGATTTTAAGTTCATACATTGGATCTTGTCATGCATTCCCTATTATCAAACATCTAACATTGTATAGTTGCGGAAATTAAATTTGCGGAAATTAAATCTAAACTATTACAAGGCGTCGGGTATTTTACATCGCCAAAAACAAACCCTTTAATTTAAATTGCGGAAAGTAAAATAAAGCAATAAATAATTAAAGTCCTAATTAAAAGCTATTACATACTGGAAGCAATTACAATATTGGATAAAAATGATACGCGTGCGAGAAAATTAAAAACGGCGCATTTTTAAGGTTTTGACCCTTTTTATTAAAGAAGAGATTTTTTGTTATTTTTTGAATTTATGGAAATTAAATCTAAGCTAATAATTAAATTAATTAATAAAAAATAGTTTTTTGTTTTTTTATATTTAAGGAAATAAAATAAGATTGATTAAAATTATTAAAAACCTAATATTCTAAATTAATTTTAATTTATTGCAAAAAATATTAAATGTTACACCTATTTAAAACTAAGTTAATTAATTAATATTTATTTACAAAATAAAATAATGAAATTAGTAATAATAATATTTTTGTGTTTTTTATTTTTATTAAGAAAAAGTTATTAATTTGTTAGTGAAATAAATAATAATTATCAAAATAATTAAATAAAAGGAATATAAAAGAGAAAAAGAAATAAACCAAATGGGGGGTGCTGGGCCTGATTTGAATATAAAAATAGCAATTCCAAGCTCATTTACTGCAAGCCTGCTTTGACTTTCCAGATCACCCACGCGCTTGTTGACTTGGACATATGATAGTCCTTCATTCCTGACCACCAGATTTGGCCTGAAGGCCATCTGGCGCCTGATGAGGTGATGATGCATGGTGGACCTTAAGCCCTGGCATATACTGGATCTCCTGAAAAAAAATTAATAATAAGCGTTTGGGGGGACCTGGGATTCGAACCCAGGTCCCATTGGATCAAGCACTAACGCCTCCACCAACTAAGCTGTGATGCTTT